ATTGCTCTGGTTCAGAGAGCAAATTACTGGATTGTAAATTCAATAACGTTACATCACAATGTGAGCATTATGAAGATGTTGGCATCCATTGTTTTCTAAACTGTACAACAGAAAATGAAGGTATGTAGGTCAAAACAAACGTTTGAAGCATTGTGAAAATTTGCAGAATATAATATATTGCAACTTGTATACCTTAATAGGTAACAGTATGGGTGCCATATCGGATTAGAACTTTTCATCATTAAAACAGACCTTATTAAACATTAAGAAGAAAATTGTGTGGTCAAAATTAATGCAACATAAATGATTTTGTTTAAACTTAAAAGAATATTCAGTAACTGTTACAGCTGAAAATCTGGTATTTTCAACCTTAAAATCCACTTTAAGATGTTGAGAACATCATTTTTCTTATTTTTACTTATTTCATAGTACCAAGCGGTAACCGATTACCAGTTTGAAAATCGTGTGTTTCAACATAGTTCCTAATGCAGTTTAGTGATAACACTTTCAGAATGCGAAATGCATAATGGTTTGCAAATAAACATAACGACAAAATTGATCCAATGATGTCATGCAATAACTCTGCTTCGAATACTGTTGTGCCGTTTGGTTAAATGACGTAAATTGCTCTGGTTCAGAGAGCAAATTACTGGATTGTAAATTCAATAACGTTACATCGCAATTTGAGCATTAGGAAGATGTTGGAATCCATTGTTTTCTCAACTGTTCAACAGTAGATGAAGCATGAAGATCAAAACAAGCGTTTGAAGCATTGTTACATTTACAGAATACTATCTAGTAAAGATATACATTGAGGTGCAGACAAATTACCTTAACAAAAACTTGCGTTAATGTCATGTATAGATATTACATTTGTCTTCGCAACATTTTTTTTATTTTTGGGTAAACGCAATGGTCAAAATAGAAATAATAAATGTTTACTAAAAAAACAAGTGTTTATTATGTGTTTCTTCAGTGAACTTTATCCGGATACATAGTACGGTGTGGTAAAACTATCAATAATCTCGTCAAATTCGTCAGATTTGTCGAGAGATTCAAAATGTCTTTGCCGATTAATTGATATATGGGACGTCCCAAAATTATACTCAATGTGCACTTGAATGAAATAGTTGCCATTTGACGTTTAACTACAAACAAAATCAATCAACCGACACAATAGATTAACAGTATACTATTCCCAGAAGAGAACCTCATACTTTTTTATTAAAAAGTACAAATGAATTCAGACATGTCAGTGTTGGTACTTGGATGATGCGGCCTAATAGTTTTGATTTACACACCATCCTGAACTTTTATCTCTAGTGACTTCAATACTATGAATACAGAGATGAAATGCTGACACTCTCAATTTATGCGGAAAATATTTTGCATTAATTGTTTTCCAATATTATTCCTTACATTTGCGGTCCTACTAAAATGTGCACAGGAGCGCCAGGAGAAGACATACAGGCACTAGGTACAATACTATGAGGGTACATAGATTTACAAATTAAAGTGCACATATGGTTAGTGTTGGTTGAAACGGTCAAATAATTTTGTTGTACAAGTGAGCATGAGGTATCAAAACTACTGAAATTTTGTAAAGTATCAATATTTTGAATAAAAGGAGGACATGCTGGCACCCTAAGTTTATGCGATTAAAAATTTGTTGTTATTGTATTGCAATATTGCTGTCCATTGTACATGTTGTATTATACATTGAATCCTGACATAAAAAAATATTGCTGATTTACTATGCGGGTATATAGATTTACAAATTAAAGTGCACATATGGTCAGTTTTGGTTGATGCGGTCAAATAATTTTGTTGTACAAGTCAGCATGAGGTATCAAAACTACTGAAATTTTGTTACGTATCAATATTTTGAATACAAGGAGGATATGCTGTCACCCTGAATTTATGCGAACAAAATTTTGTTGTTATTGTATTGCAATATTGCTGTCCATTGCATTATACATTGAATCCTGACATAAAAAACATGGCTGATTTACTATGCGGGTATATAGATTTACAAATTAAAGTGCACATATGGTCAGTTTTGGTCGATGCGGTCAAATAATTTTGTTGTACAAGTCAGCATGAGGTATCAAAACTACTGAAATTTTGTTACGTATCAAAATTTTGAATAGAAGGAGGACATGCTGGCACCCTAAATTTATGCGAACAAAAATTTGTTGTAATTGTATTGCAATATTGCTGTCCATTGTATTACACATTGAATCCTGACATAAAAAATGTGGCTGATGTATTATGTGGGTATATAGATTTACAAATTAAAGTGCACATATGGTCTGTTTTGGTCGATGCAGTCAAATAATTTTGTTGTACAAGTCAGCATGAGGTATCAAAACTACTGAAATTTTGTTACGTATCAATATTTTGAATAAAAGGAGGACATGATGGCACCCTAAATTTATGCGAACAAAAATTTGTAGTCATGTGTGTAAATGATGCTTTCATTTTGTATAATAAATTCTATCCTGAAATCAAAATATTGCTGATTGTGGCTACATAGATCAAGGACGTTTAACTAACAAGGACGTATAACTAACACGGACGTATAACTCACAAGGACGTATAACTAACATCTAATATACGTCTTTCCATAGATATACATAATAAAGTGCAAATATGGTTGAATTTGATAGGTATTGGAATATATATATTCAGTGCCCGTTATCATTGTAACCAAGATCGTTTTTTAATTTATAGATGAAAGATCACAGATAAATTTGTGTTACAAGCAACGTTTTATGTGTACTTTATTTTCAAATATTTATATTTAATCCTGTTTATAAAATAAACATAAGTACTAATTTTACTTTATTTTTTGGATGTTTATACTACGAAACAAAGATATTAAAAAATATTTTTTAAAAAATCGATGATTAGCGGTCCTGGTTACAAGTTAACTTAGTGTTGAGCAGAACAGTCAAAAGTAAACTTGGGAACAGGTCTGGCTTCGATCGGATTCGTCAAAGCAAAAGTTAACTTATGTTAACCTTGTGGCAGGACTTGTTTCGAAGTTAACTTATGTTAACTTTAGGGCCGGACTAGTTTCGAAGTTAACTTATGTTAACTTATGACAGGACTGGTTCGAAGTTAACTTATATCAATAGCGGACCTGTTTCCAAGTTAACTTTTTGGCAGACATAAAAACAGTCCTAGGACCAAGTCCGCTTTTCAAGTTAACTAGATTATGGTCCTAGGACTGGTCAGAGCAGTCCTAAAACCGGTCACAGGTTAACTTTGACCAGTCCAAATGACTGGTTATCAAGTTAACTTGCTGTACAGGTTAGGACTGCACCCACCTGTATGTTTCGTGTACCTTAAAATAAAAAAAGAGTTGTTTATTGTTCACGTTTACTTCATGTTTATATCATCAATAAAGAACATTTGTCTTTTTAAAGTGACTTTAAATTTTATATTTTACAAATAAAAGCATAATATATATTTTTTTAAATCTTTTAACAAATTCTCCGAAAGTCCGATGATCACTAGAAATACAGTTTTCATGAAACATCCCTGATGATTCTTTATTTAAAATAGCCTAGTTTTTTGTTGCAAATAATTAATAGATACAGTATATGGCTCAATATACACAATTCATTTCAAGTATTCGACAATGGTAACCTGTTCTTCCGTTCTTCTGGCCAAATCATACACTTCAATTCGTATGATAGCTCGTTTCGAAGCTGAAAGATTTTGATATGTTTGTTTTCTCGGGATATTAAGTTTTTCACAATTTGGGCAACCTGGCCCCACGTGATGCCGCTTCAGCAAACAAAAAGTCCTCATTTTAAAAAAAAACAGTTAAATTCTTTGGAAAGTCAGTATTTTACAAACTTTTAACATCAGTCTCCAAATTCATGAAAGTTGTGATACATTTAGTGTAGTTTTCGGCTCAAGCTTGATTTAGCTCAGCCAATGACTAAAAACAATATCATGTCAAATACTATTGCATACAGGATTTTTAATTTCTATTTATAATTGACTACCCTACTTTGAGGCCCATACTAAAAACATTGGTTCTGTTTTTTAACAAAAGTCTTGAGTGTTCCATCTTAGTATGACTTTCTGAAAAAAATCTGTGTATTTTCAATAATTTATGAATATAAACAGGTCTCTCAAAGACAAAAATCTGAAATGTATAAATAATTTTTTTCTGTAGGTGCTTTGCGTATATGTGCAGGTTACGCTAAGCATCAAGGACGACTGGAAATTTACCATAGAGGTGAATGGGGAACAGTTTGTGATAACCACTTTGGGAATATTGATGCAGAAGTAGCATGTAGACAGCTCGGATATTGGTGTGTATTTCGTTCAAACATAACATCAAGTGCGCAATGCAATTTAAATCATTTCTTTCATTTCAATTTGATCCATATGCACACACAAACGTACAGGGGTTAACATTCAAAATGTAATATCCAAGGATTGGATAGTCTTATTCGAAAGCTAAATTTGAAAAAAAAAGGATTTCACATTCGACAATAATTGATAAATAACAAAATTACACATTTCAAGAATTTAGTCAGCAGTGGAAATATGAAAACCGTTGATTTAAAAATCAAAACGAAACATAAAAATTGTCAAAGTTGGTTTCTATTAACTCTTTCTAAAGATGATTAAGAATAACAATCTTCAATGATGCATATTTTGTGTATGCATCATCTATGCATATTCAGTCAACATTTATATTTCATCACACACACACACACTAAAGATAGTGTCTACAAGTCGTTTAAAAACATATGATATATATATACATATATACATATATATATATATATATAATACAGAATGAATTTAATTATTGCGTTAATATTTTGATATATAGGCAACATATTTTTTATACGAACATGTGTCCTACGTTTCCTCTGCATTCAACTGAAAATTTAAAGTTCTTTACAGACTATAGTTCATAAATGGAACATAACGAATAATATCTAACCCTGTATGTCTTTCATTATGTATAGTTCTGGAATCATGCAGCCTGCAAATCGTATACGTAGTGGTTATGGTGCCGTTTGGTTAAATGACGTAAATTGCTCTGGTTCAGAAAGTAAATTACTGGATTGTAAATTCAATAACGTTACATCACAATGTGAGCATTATGAAAATGTTGGCATCCATTGTTTTCTAAACTGTTCAACAGAAGATGAAGGTATGAAGGTCAAAACAAACGTCTGAAGCATTTACAGAATACTATCTGATAGTATATATATTAGGGTGCAAACAAATAACCTTAACAAAACGTGCGTTAATGTCATGTATACATAATGCATTTGTCTTTACAACATTTTTTCGTTTTTGGTTGAACGCAATTATTTTCGTTAATTGATGAATAATAAATGGTCTCTCAAAAACAACCATCTGATTTTTATAAATTATTTTTTTCTGCAGGAGGTTTGTGTATATCTGCAGGTTACGCTAAGCATCAAGGACGACTGAAAATTTACTATAGAGGTGAATGGGGAACAGTTTGTGATAATCACTTTGGGAATATTGATGCAGAAGTAGCATGTAGACAGCTCGGATATTGGTGTGTATTAGGTTCAAACAGATATTTAATATCTAACGATTGGATGGTCTTATTAGACATCTGAAATTGAAAAAAAAAAAAATTCACGTTCGACAATAATTGATAAATTTCGAAATAAAACATTTAAAGCATCTAGTCAGCAATAAGCTAGTAGAAATATGAAATCCTTTGAAATAGAAATTAAACGAAACATAAATATTGTCAAAGTTGGTTTCTATAATTTTTACAATCAACCAGAATATCAAATACGCAATGTAATGTTCTCATTTCTTTCATTTCAATTTGGTTCAAATGCACACACAAACGTACAGGGATCTAAATTCAAAATGGTATATCCAACTCTTGGATGGTCTTTTTCGACAGCTTAAATTGAAAAAAAAAGGATTTCACATTCGACAATAATTGATTAATTTCGAAATTACACATTTAAAGCATTTACTCAGCAGCGAGCTAGTGGGAAGATGAAAGCCTTCGAAATCTAAATTGAAACGAAACATAAACATTGATTTCTATAAACTCTTTCTAAAGATGAGTAAGAATAGTATACGTTCATGATAAAACCGTATATTATATACAATGAAATGATATAAAATTTCATGTTGCATTACTTGTGGATGAATATTATACGCAATTCGAAAATGTATTTCGAGTCAGGGTTTCACATCAGACATATTTATGACAAGTAAAATTATTCAGTAAACATTTATATTCCATCACACACACTCACTAAAGGGAGAGTTTGCAATTCCATTTAAACACAATTAGAATATATGTATAATACAGAATTAATGTGGTTATTGTGGGAATATTTTGATCTATAGGCAACAGTTTTTTTTATACGAACAGGTGTTAGAACAGGTGTTAGCATGTTATTCGTCATTCAACTGAAAATTAAAAGTTCTTTACAGATTATAAATCATTGAATAGAACATAGCGAATAATATCTAACCCTGTATGTCTTTCATTTATTTATAAAAATTTGCAGAATATAATATATTGCACTTGTATACCTTCATAAGTAACAGTATGGATGACAAATCGGATTAGAACTTTTCATCATTAAAACAGACCTTATTAAAACATTTAGAAGAACATTGTGTGGTCAAAATTAATGCAACATAAATGATTTTTGTTTAAACTTAAAAGAATATTCAGTAACTGTTACAGCTGAAAATCTGGTATTTTCAACCTTAAATCCACTTTAAGATGTTTCATAGTACCAAGGGGTAACCGATTACCGGTTTTAAAATCGTGTGTTTCAGCACTGTTAATGCGGTTTAGTGATAACACTTTCGGAGTGCGAAATGCATAATGGTTTGCAAATAAACATAAAGACATCATTGGTCTAATGATGTCATGCAATAACTCTGCTTCGATTACTGATGTGCACAGTTTTAGTAAATAATTTGAGAATTGAAACGGGGAATGTGTCAAAGATTCAACAACCCTACAAAAGAGCAAAAACAGCTAATGGTAATCAATTGGTTTTTTATAAAGCGAGAAAATCCTACATCCAGAGGCGGGCTTCGGCTTGCCTTAAACAAAAGTGTGTACTAGTTCAGCAAAAATGGACGTCACACTAAACTTCGAAACACAAATGAAGCAATGTTAAAATAATATAGAAAACTAACAAAGGCCAGTAAATAACATAGAGTAAATTGAACCTTTAAACACGTACATCGGACCGGATCTATGTATTAGGTCCTCACTCAAATATTGTCTACAAAGATTTTCGACCTTTTTTTTCTATTGTACTATACCAAACTGAGCTTCAACACGATAATCACTAAGAGTCATCGGTCTTATGAATTTAACAAGATTTAAAAATTGATAGTTTACGTTAATACATAAGTAAACAGGGGGAAAACATGCATTGAATGTTTAAAGAATCGTTTACAAATAGTGAACATGCAGTTAACGCCGCGTTATGATTTCCGCATGCTTTTATTTCATTGTAATCACCAAAAATATGTCTATAATGAAAGCTTTTTTGTGGCCCTTAAATGATTAGGGATGACAATTTAGATACACCTTCCATGTCAAGTTATCAAGCACTTGCGTGAAATAAGTTCTACGTTTTCACTTTATAATTCAATTATTCTATAAAACATTTGTTTATTATACAATTCGTCATTTCTGTTAAAGATATGGACATACATCAACTACACAGTATCCGAACGAACAGAGGTGTAATATCATGATAAGATTGTAAGTGAGACAACTTTATATCCAAGACCAACTTTCATTAATGTAGCCAACTATAGATTACTGCATGGCCTTCAACGTACAAGTATTCTATAAATATAAAAGGGCCTTAACACAAGCAGTGTAAACCAATTCAATTAAGAAAATTATCGGACTGATTTATGTACAAAAAAATAAACGAAAACATATGAAATATAGTAACACTCGACTACCACTGAATTACAGGTTCCTAGTTTGCGACAGGTTCATAAAGTATAATACTAGCTACTGCAAAGTAACTAAAATACTTTCTTGACAATTATCGTACTTTAGATAATAAAAAGAAGATGTGGTATGATTGTCAATGAAACATCTAACCACCCAAGACCAAACATCGAGAATGTATGCAACTATTAACCGTACGGCCTTCAACGTAGAGCATTGGACCACGAAGCATAGCAAACTATATAGAGTCAAACAATGCCCAATATAAAACAAGAAAAAAAAAAGAAAAAAAAAGAAAAAAAAAGAATAAGGCTTAATTGATAAACAAAACAATAAACGAAAAACTAAAAGAAGATACACTGTAACAGACGAAAATGATTATCTAAACCCCATTTTCGGTGCACCGTCGCACTTTAGCGTGTTATACCCACGCACTTTAGAGCGTGTTATACTACGCACTTAAGCGTACCGTATAATCGCACTTAAAAAAAACAGACAATCCTTGCTCTTTAGAGTTTGACAATTCAGCGCAGACCATTGCTTTTTAACGTCCTGCATATATATCGACGCTTAAACACAGGATCGTCAGTTGTTGTGTCAATATCAAACCATGAACATGTTGATTTGACATTTTTGACATTACCTGATATATTTTACCTAGTTTTGAGCAAAATCAGCTATAACTCAATACCTTACTCTGACAAATATACGTTATCAACATTATTATATTAATATAATACATGTTGTCGTCAAAAATCCTTTGGTAATTGCTATGGATAATATTTTAATGTTATTACACATTTTCAAAATAAGGCTTGTTTTGCTTAATGCAAGACTATTGAAGCCTCAAAACAAACAATAATAACGTAAATACAAAACAATCAAACTGATATTTGAAAAACTGATGTCCTGTTTGTTGAAAAAATTGTATCTGATATCTTTAAATTAAGAATCGATGTCCCCATTTACTATACGTATCCTATACGCTCATTTTAGATTTTCAAATTCAAAAATGCAACAGGTTGGCTCTTTCAACATCCGCCATTTCCTACGGAGGTTTGCATTTAAGTTTAACAGGTGTTTGGAGTATCAAACATACATCGTAGCCAGGAAAATTAATGTACCATTCCCATAATGTATCGAAGCAATTGGCCATGTTCCTTGTTTTTAACTTTTTTTTCAAAAAGGGTGGACAACAGCATGAATTTAAATGATAATTGTGTATTTATTTTTATCCCTTATTTGTGGATACATATTTGTAACATTTTATTCAAAAAGCGACGAAAGATTATAATTCAATAACTGTTTCATTGTAAAACAGATTGAAATGTATTAAAAAGAAAAACATTGACTGAAATTGGTTCTCCCGAGCTATTTAAAAAAAAATGTTAAGAAAAACCACCTACACCACTAAAACAACTATCAATCTCAGTAAAAAAAAAAAACACCAAAGAACCAAATATACGTTTTAAACGAAGAAAACAACTAGGCACACACAGTTAAGACAAAAAAAAACCCCCAAAAACATTTGAATAATTAAATTTGGTTATTTTCTGAAAACAATCGTTTTCTGATTGTCAGCTATTATAAAAGCAATTTGCCAAAAATAGGTCGAGTAAGACAATTTGCTTCTTTTAAATACACAAACTTTAAAACACCTCTCACAAAAAGTACATTTATTTTATAAATTATTCTTCTCTGCAGGTGGTTTACTTATTATTGATGGTTACGCTAAGAATCAAGGACGACTGGAAGTTGATCATAATGGTGAATGGGAAACAGTATGTGATAATCACTTTGAAGATATTGTTGCAGAAATAGCATGTAAACAGCTCGGATATTGGTGTGTACTACGTTTAAAGCACAGTGTGCAAGTTAATTCGAATCAGTTATTTCATCTCAGTTTGTACAAAATCAATAAAGAACCGTCCAAGGTTTAAAATTCGAAATGCAATATCCAACGATTGGAAAGTCTTATCTGACAGCTAAATTTGTAAACTAAGGATTTTACATTCGTTATTAGTCGATACATTTCTAGATCATAAATCAAAAACATTCAATCGGCAGTAATACAATAAAACTATGAAAGACGATTAAACGAAAATAAAAATGAAAAATATTGAATTGTAAAAG